GTTTAAGTCACCAAAACCTTGGTGGTACTCTTACCCCATCTTTCCAATCCTCCTTAACGTGTGCATTTGTTGCGTTTCCTTCTGAACCTAATGAGAGAGCTGGACAGGACAGGAGTATGGTATGTTATTTTTGTACAGAACATAACTAGGGTTTATTCTTGATTTGAGCCTTTGGGCTCTATTATAAAATCAGTATGAAATGGGAATATATTATCGTAATGTTAATTTACAGGATATTATTCTATAAGGAGCAAAGTATGGCTCAGTGGAGGCTGCCAGTTATGGCGGGCCGCTGCTGTGATTCAGTATTTCTACTATGTTCAGTATTACTTGTGATCAAATTGGACCCTAAAAGGACTAGATAAAACCTCTGTGCTACAGTACACATTTTAATTTGTGACAATAATTGAAGCTGGGGGACTATGCGAGTGCAAAATGAAGCATTTGTATGCATGCAAGATTGAAGCCTAATTGAACAGTTTCGCTCATTACGTAGAAATTTCCTGTGTAATGGATTAAGTGTCAGATTGGTTGGAGGATCAGTGTTTGCATAGGAAACTCACAATATATTCCCTCCTTGTAGTGAAAACTTAGACCCTTTTAGGCTATCAGCTCAATATTTTATCTTACAGCAGACAGAAGGTCAGTGGCAGCTACACTAATGCAGCTTACTGAGTCTCTTGGTACTAGTTCCTTAAAAACCCTTGTGCTTTTTGCCTAGACTCATAAATTAATGACACTTGGTACTCTCACTTGTGCGAGTGTGCTGATTTTCTAAGGACCAGCTTTAGAGTTGCGCTACATCCATAAACACTAGCAGCACGAGTCACATGTAAGAGAAACAAGCAGCTGCTTTTAAAGCAGAGGTGTTGTCATTAATTCCTTCCTAAGGAGCCCGATCTTGCCAAGGCTGAACTCCTTTCTGCTGCTACCAAAGAACGTAATTTACCCAATTTACAGCGCAATTCTCTTTTAGCAAGAGCTAAATCTTTACCACTGCTCATCTGTCAGGGATTCTTGGGCCAAGTCAGCAAAGGATATTTAAGTAATTTGTGCCTGCAGCTGAATACAGTACTTTTTGAACAGACTGATCTTTGATCAGGTCCCGAGAGTCAGGAAGGTGGAGGTCTGCTGTCGTGTTATGATCCAGGAACACACGTGACGGGAAGAAAGGAAGGAAGTGGCTTTTGTATTGACTGCTCCCCACCTCTGTCAAAGGTGCTTTTGCTGCTAGCATTTTGTCCCTGAAAGGGTTGTCCCGCTCCTGTCCCAAGGGTGAGCTCGCTGTGTCGGATCCTGCAGCATACTGACCCTCCCTCCCTCTTGCTTTCATCTTTTGCACCTCATCAAAAACCACGCCAAGAGCACTAATGGGAATTCTGCAACAATGCTGTCTAACTAATGGCTCTTGACCTACTGGTGCATAATATATTTTTTCATATATCAGTGTTGATTACCTTATTTCCTATTATTTTTTCCCCTATGAATTTCCAAAGTTATTAGTAACCCTGTCGTTTCATACTTGGGTAGCCACTTTGTATGTTCTTGGAGAAGGGAATTCTGGGTGTTGTGGCACAAGATACCCTCTAACGCTGTGCTTTTTCCTCTACACCATCCTTGGTTTTTCTTGCCATTAGCATATTGTAAATTAAAGATTTCTTTAGTCTTGTCTTTATTGCTGCTTTGGCTGTGGCATATCAGTTTCCTGCTGCTGGGCTTCAGTGCTGATGAGAGAGCTTAAAAAATAAAGATGCAGATTTTAAGAGTAGTGTAGTGTATACTTATGTGTGTCAAAAGATTGAGATGCATGCAAAAGACTTCTTTTTCCTTTTGTGAGACCTTTTGCTTCCAGTGATGATAAAATTACTAGACTTGTGGTTGCACTTAACACTGATTACAGAGTGAGATAATAAATACTAGAAATTATTTCAATTCAGTAGGTGGAGGGATAACAAGCTCTAGTGGCTGAAAGATGAAATTAGGTGAATTCAGATTAGAAGTAAATTGTCAACAATGACAGTAATTAACCAGAGAAAGCCCTCGGAGAGTTGTGTTCTCCCCCAATGGAAGCCTGAGCTGCCTTCCCCGCTAGCATCGCCCAGCCGTGCTCCTTCGAGCATCCTTTCTGTGCTTCACAGGTGGTCAGAGATGATAAGCACCGCAATTTAGTGTGGGCTAAAACTTACAACGCTCTCCTCAAATGTACACGCAATGTGTAGAGGACCTACAAAAGCACAGTTGTAATAATGAGAGTAAGAATGGTGTCAGGAGATTAAAACCCCACAGTTTAAGCAGGCTCCACTGCAAGGTTTGCACATAAAATTTGGGCCATGCAAACAATGCCTTCATTAAAGACATTTTTAGAAAATTGTATTGGTTTTTTTTCCCCACTCTTAAATATGTTATCACAGAGGTTCTACCACTGTTGCTGATGGGCTCAGCCTTGGCCAGCGGCGGGTCTGTCTTGGAGCCGGCTGGCATGGGCTCTATCGGACACAGGGGAAGCTTCTGGCAGCTTCTTACAGAAGCCACCCCTGTAGCCCCCCTGCTACCAAAACCTTGCCATGCAAACTCAATACACAAGTAAATTTTTATAAAATAAAATCCTTACTTTTATATTGATTTATTCTTTAAAATTTACTTTTAAGCGATCTGCCTTACAGTTTCACCAAGCCTGACAAAGCCCTCACTCCTAGATGTTTACCTCCATTCGCCTGTTTGTGTTGGTTGACAAATGTTTTTTTTCCATCTGTGTTCAAACGATAAGCATTGTTAATGCTAAGCATTCCACCTTTCTGTCCCAGTGGGGTACTGTCTTTCCAATTACCCTGCCCTGCTGTTGTAAACTGATAAACTTACCACATTGCAGTTCCATGTTGGATTACCACAAGGGAGCTGGTTACCTGCTCTAGAAAAACACTTTAATTAGTGGCTTCTGAGGTCTAAGAAATCGCCTTCGTTTTGCAAATCTAGGAAAAAGATGTCTCTCTCCCTACTGTTTTTCTTGACATTAAAATGAGATGATTTATGGGTTTTGATGGTATTTCATTAAAAATAGCTGAGCTCTTGTTACCCATTACTGTCAGCTTTGATTAGTTTAAATGTGGCTATGACCGTATTCTTCCTACATAATTTATCTCCTGCAAAAAATTACATCTTTGAGTGTAAAAGGAAATATTCAGGGGAAGATTCAGAGTTGCTAGAAGAACAAATTTTGGAAGTGATATAAAAACTTCCTTTCTACCTCAAGTGGCAGAGCTATGGCAAGAGCAGACCGTCTGGTCTTTGCCTACCACAGAGTTTTACACATCCTTTGAACCATTTGGCGACGACCACCCTCATAGCCAGGAAACCAGATTAAACAAATGATGGGACAAATCCCACACTAAATTAATTATCGCTGGATGCAGGAGGTTCTTATGAATTCTCATTACTTCCTCCTTGCCCTTCCAGCTGGAACAGAGCTGCAGAACAGGCTAGCAAGCTCATTATCGGATTTCAGAGAAAAGAAAGCACTGAGCTACTTTTTTGTTAACTGGTAAACAAACAAATGAAAAGAATATATTTAATACATGACTAAATGATTATTTTCATTATGTAGTCAGACAAATAATTTAAGGACTTACAACCTTTTCACCTATTTTAGTCAGCATGAAGTTCAGTCGTTGCACGACCATTACAGACTTCATCCAACTTCGTAGGAAGCCAAAGTAACACCGGCCAGACAACACTTCAGAGGACTCACAAGAAATCCACGCAGGCATTTACTTTCAGATTAATATGCCTTGCAGAAAGTTGAATACAAGTGGCTGTATTCCACTGGATGCAAGTATCGGATAACTGGCCAACATAATCAACAACAGTCCACCACTTAGTCCACAAATTAGGAGCACATTTTCTAGATGGAATGCTTATTTCTATTTCTCAAAGACAACAAACAATACTTTACCAAGTATCTCTGAAAAAGCAAAGTTCTTGGACTTGTTTTTTTTTCATCTGTTTATTAAGAAAAAGCTTTTCTTTTTACATAGAAAAGATACAGAGGAAGGTAAATAAATGCAGTAGAATTCATTACCTTATGTAATAGCTGTACAACTGAATCTTAATGACAAAAGTTGCAGAAGACCTAAATATTATAAAAAGCCACCTCCAAAGTGAGACTCTGACAGAGCGAGAACGAGACACAAAAATGAACAATACTGAACACCAGTGAATCACAAGTATGTAGAAGGACACAGCCAGTCCACTGCCAGAGGCCTGATGCCAAAGGGTAGTCCTGCTTCAGTGTTAATGCCTTCAATGGGGAAATCAGATAAATTGAATTCTTTAAGAAATCTCGGTATCTGGTGTGTCCTGCAATTTATAATTTATTTTTCCAACTTTTCAGAGCCAGATAAGCCTTTAAAATTTTGCTTAAAAAGAAACTCTGATGAGATGGGTAATTTGTTTTTCACAAATTCTTAAATCTTCTTGTTCTGTCATGTCTTCAACGGCAATTATTATTTTTCCAAGGATTACGTGAAGGAAAATAAGACAACGAGGAATATTGAATTCAAAGCTGTGAACCGAACTGAGTACTCTTGCACTGCCATCTGTGACAACCGTTGCTGAAGCTTGCAGAAGACTACAGAGATCTGCCGCAGTGCCTTCAGGGCACCTCCCTGTAAACTGGGGCAAATTCACCAGCACTCCACCAATGGCATGGTTAGGAGTACCGTCGGGAAGTAAAATCATCTCACAAATGGCTATTGTGCAGATTAAAAAAAAAATACATGTGGAAAATAATGAGAACAGACACTTGAATGGTAACAGAAGACAAAGATTTATTTTTACTGACTTTCAACTGGTGTTAAGATCGCTTGAGAGACATCCAGTAAATTTGTAAGACCACCACAGATATGACCACATATGCATATTCTGTCTATCTCACTACCACGCCCTCTCTTCATAAAGGCACTAACTATAAATAATATGAAAATGGACAGATAAAATGCCAGAAAAAAACTGACTGCTTGTATGGACTTCTGTGTTCATGTTTGTATACATTCATGCTTTAAATGTACAATTTTAAAATTAATTTTAAAAGTCACCTTTATTTTGGCAATACAACTGATAAAATGAAACATGCAGAACACACAGCTTGACAGAACTCAGTGCATAATTTTGTCAGAATGAAGCAGTTCTTTATCACCCTTTGTGAGTTGGGAATACATTCATATTACAAGGCAAAAAACCCCCACCCAAAACAGACAACATCTGGCTTCTGATTAATGCATCTGCTTTTCCACATCTTCTCCCATGTCTTTGGATAGTAAAATCTACGTCTGACCACAGGTTAAATTGTATGGTTATATTTTACCAGTCTTCATAGTGCAGCGAGGCAAGACAGAGCTGCCTGTATTCACTGTTCTATCTCCAAGCTATCCATTTTTAAGTCGGGGGGCTTAAAGCTAGTCACTTCTTCATAGGTAAGTTCTGCAGAGAGGGTGTAAGGGAGAGAGAAGAATTAGGTGGTATTCTCTTCAAAAGGAAAATATTCCAGACAAAACAGGTCTATGGATGCATGTGCCTTGTAGTTTGTATTTCCAGCCTTTTTAGAGTCCAGATCCCAAAATAGACCGAATTCACTAGGAATCCTTCTGTTAACCACAGATTACAAATTAGACTCACAAATACTGTTATTGTACAATATGTCTGTCCCCTTCAGCTAATTACTAAAACACACAGGCCCTGAAATGGAAACATCAATTATGCTTGTCAGATGACCTGCCAAAATGACGTAATAAAAGACAAAATGTAAAGGAAAATGGAATCTTTAAAAGCACCCGAACAGGTTTTAAAAGATACACTCTTAACTGCGGAGAATGTTCTTTATCATCTCTCAGTCAATTACCTTCAACATAAATCACACACAATTCTGTGCTAATACCTTGGGATCTAGGTTTCGGGTTTTTTTTAATGTTTTATTGTAACTAGCTTAATTTTAAGGTTCTCTGAAAAAAATTTCTTTTGTCTTAGGAGCATGTAACAGTTCTATTTTCATCAAGAAGGGCTTAGCTAGAAACATGGATTCCCTGCTATTTTACCCTGCTTTAGGAACAGCCCTTTATCTTTTCATGCTGACAGTGATGTCCTGTTTTGTGCCTTGCATAGTAATGGAATATGTCGTCAGCGGCTAGCTCCTATGTATTTTCTCAAGTTAGATACTGTATTTTAAGGACCAAATCCTGTTCACACAGAAATACATGGCTAACAATGCATTACTTCAGGTTCTGTTTTCCAAACAGTGATGTTTAAATTGTATCAAACTTCAGTCTATTAGCTTGTTTATTAAACAGATCTGTCCTAGACAGCTGCTACACCTGCAAGTGGACCTAGCGCTCCTCTAAAAAGTACGTAAAAATCTTTGGGCTGAATCTTGCTTACGCTCTGGTTGTGTTATGCTGTAGCATGGTCTATGGTGACCAGTGTGCCAGCTTCAGTGAAGGATTTCTCTGAAAGAAATTCTGTGTGCAGAACCCCTGAGGCAGAAGGATTCATTAGGTGACTCTTTCAAGTGATTGACTTGCAGCTATTAAGTAGCATCTGGTCACATGCAGCCAGGTAGGAGCTAAAGTGGTCCTGACTGAATTCAGAGGAAGCCAGCGTCCTCACAAATCGGACGCCTGGAACGGTATTCCAAATTACTCCTGCTGGCTGTGCATTGTATGTTTATGAAGCTCCTTACCTGGTTCTCATGCCACCTACTCAAGCAGAGCGTACAGATGTTATGCTGAGATATGTGCAACTGGAGCAACAGCTAAGGAGAAATAGTGCATAGCATTCAACTCTGAATAGCGTACTCTTGGCGTCTAAAATTTTGATATATTTTCTAACTGATTAAACATGTCAGAAAGAAATCTATGAGCTTGGGCTGCAAGTCTCAGCAGTGTGCCGTAGAGACCAAGGAAACCCTTCAGTGCAAAACTTGTAAGACAGTGTCTGAGATCTCATCTTACTTTGGTGCTCAGTCCCTCTTGGGATTAAGGGCCACTGATTTTTAATTTGAAGAGAAAAAGAGGGGAAATATGCCACTGACATCTTGAGAAACTGGGTCAATATTTCATCAACAATACAAACATTTTATGCAAATGGTCACCTTTCAAGTCATCTTACTTAAATGTGGCACGTACTGTACTTGAAATTAAAAGTTTAGTCCCTGAGATAAAAATATGGTCAGGAGGAAGAGCTGCGTGTGCTGTGCCAGTTTTGAGATTTTTGTCTCAGGCCTTTTTCTTCCCCTGTATAAAGAAGGAATTCGACTTGTAGTTCCAGCAAGGACAGTGATGTAGAAAAATACGATACTGTCCTTCCTAGAGAATTCACCTCCATGTCCTCATTTCAGTTCAGAAAGTGTTAAGCTAAGACTGTTCCTGAAATAATTGCAGCGGAGTTTCATCACAAACAGAAATCAGCTTTGTGACTCGGAAATTGTTAAACTTCCCTGTTAAAGACTCGGTCAACTGAAAAAATAGCAGAAAACAAATCATCCACTTGTAAGTACAGGAGCAAATTGAACCTGCCTCTCAATAAACAAGATGTATGGGCGGTGCTGTATGCTGCCAGGTGGAGAGCACATGTAAGGAGTAAGCAATACCAGTCAAGCCTCCTTGTTTGTACAGATGCAGTAGGCATCTAGAAAACCCTTTTCAGGGCTCTAGGAGGTTGCTTTATTGTAGAGAGGCCCATGAGCCTGCTCCTGTCTTTCTTTAAGATGTATTTGCTGTAGTCAGTCTGCTTTTCTCCCCTGCAATGTCCAGGATAAAACATGGCACAAGTGGAAGGGCATGAGTAAGACATGGGAGGTCACTATTTTTCATCATAAACCTACCCACTTTGCTAATATATTTTTATCAAACCTTTCTGGAGTAAAAGTTATAGAATCTACAAATAGAAACAGAAGAACATTTATTTTCTAGAATACATATTTCATCTTAAGCCAGGGAAAGGACTTTATTGATAAACAGGAAGAATTAGTGTTCTAGAACATTACTCTCAATTTAAAAGGTTTAGTAAGGAACTTTTAGCATAATATGTCCTCATTAGACAATGATGAAATTGGTCTGTACTTTTCAGTGTACTTGCAAACTTAATATTTAGCCACCTTACTTCCGTGACACTGTAGTGCAATATGATCATGATGCAAGCATGGAATTAAGGAATAAAAAAAGGTCGTTGCAGTATTTCTCAAGGATGGGTTTTGGGGTGTCACTCCCAAGTAAAATCATCAACTCTCATCTTAAACAGGATCAATAGCATGGTTTATCTATTAATCCCAGTTACTTGGCTATCTAAAGAACGATTAACAAAATACACTTCTATGTGGAAAATACTAATTTCTGGTTCTGAACAAAGCTAGACCAGAATACTAAATAGTGTCACTTGCCCTAGGACAGTTACTTCAGCTGAGGATCTGACTTAGAAAACTAAAAGCAAGACAGAATGTGTGGTTACCTGGTAACTAGCATCAGCTTTTAGTTAAGATTAAACCTGCTATGGGGAATCCAGTGAGGAGATGACAGAATGGGGGAATCAGAATCCAGAGTGGCAACACAACCCTTTCCACCTCTCCACTTCCACAACCCTTTCCATCTCTCCACTCCGCACTCTCCACACACATGGACTTAATATTGTCTCCCTGAGGCTTAAGAGTTCAAATTCCTCTGGTTAGAAACACAAGAAAATTGTTATTTAAGTCAGGTTTTGTTCTGCTGCATGTATTAACTACTGTGTGCAATTCTGTTACCTTTCCATTCATCTATGGTTCGCTCCTTATTCTCTATTGACTCATCGTACAGCTCGGCCTCAGGTTCATCATCCGGATCGTGATACTGTACAAAGTACGGATGTGCAAGTGCTTCTGAGGCAGTAATTCTTTTATCGCTGTCTAATATAAGCATCTTCTCAAGCAGATCTACAGCTAAGGGAAAAAGAGAAATGCAGTTCAAAGCCAGAAGAAACCACCTAGACATAAAAGAGAAGGCAACTGTTTACACAAAATCTATTCTCACTCATCTTAAACACAGTTAACATTTTTGACAAGCCCACAAAATTTAGGTAATAAATAAGTTTTGAAGATTTTATACTGTGAGTACAATTTGCAGAGCTGAAGGAAGCTTCTGGTTTCCCTGTGGTACGCACAAAGGTTCATTATAGTCTATTTGATAATCTGATTCACCTCTTCAGACATCCAGGGCCTTCATTCTGAAAAGATCTCTGTGTGCTTAAAAGTTAAATATCCTGTGTTGTGTGCATCATGTGCTTAACTTGATCCTGACCAGTGCAAACTTACGTAACTGAAATTGTGAATGTGAGATTACACTTTTAATTAGCTGCACCAATGAAATCATCAGATGAAAACCCCAAAGCAACTTTACAGGACCCAGCATGAAGAAAATATGTTTGAAGTCGACAGTTGCAGAATATTAGAAATGAGAGAGATCTGTAAGGCTGAAATTGGCTTTATATGGAAAGTTTATCATAACTGTTTAAAATATTATATAAAAATGATTTTTAGTGCTTTCATATAAGCACTGTCATGAATTTGCCTTTATGATACTAACGTGTAGCATGGTCTCATGTACCTCATGCAAATAAATCCCATTTTTTATAAGAAAGCATTCACAGCTACTTGTATTTGTAAAAATAAAATTGTCTTTTAATACACAGAATGAATTAAAAACTTTCTAACTCATAATACTTCCCTATATACAATGTTTTAATGTGCATTTGATGGAACTGACCAGGCACTGTAGTAAGATGACTCTGGTGACTCGAACGTCTCCTTTGCCATGTCACAAGAAATGGTTCACAGAAACAACTCTTTTGCACAGGCAAAACCAATTGGCTAGACATAAAAACAATCGTGCAGGATCAGACCAAAGGTCTGTCTAGCCTGATATCCTGTGTCCAACAATGGCTAATATATTCCTAGAAAATAATACTCAAAAGGGTCATTCAAACAGCTGTACTTCCTGGTATATTCTTCTGCTTGCCAGCAATTTACAGCCCATGGCCTTCCTGAGCCAGAAGTGATGTCTCTAGTCTAGACCCCATGACATTTTTATTTATTCCTGCTACATATAGCTGGCTTGGCTTTTCATCCACTGACTGTTTTCCTTTAGGAGGTTCCCATAATCTTCACCAGAAACAAAAGACTTCATGAAGGGAAAAAAGTCTCAGGATGAAAGGTTAAGCAATACTCTTCTCACTGGTCTGATCATTATTATATGGGATCATACAGCAAAAGAAGGCTTCAGTTCCTATGTTAATGAAAGATTTCATCTATATCAGTCTGACTTTCTTACCTAATGGATTGGCACCACGAAATACTGCTTTCAAATCCTGTTGAGGCATATGTGGAAGAGATTCAATGTATTTTCTTGCCTAGGAATAAATCGATATACATACCACATGTACAGAGGTTACATTTTGCCCAACAGTAACCATATCAACTCTAAAAAACCAGACATAATATTTTTTATGTTTCTTACACACAGGAAACCTTCTTTACATAAAACCATAATGTATGACTTTGTTTTAAACAGTCACTCCTGTATATTGCACAACGAGCAAGAGAGTTTTGAACAGGTATATTTTCCTCTAAGGGTTATGCCTTAGCACTTACGCCTTCACCTATGCTTACCGGTTCATTGCAGTATATCCGCAGGGAACACGTGCATGTAACGTTCAACCAGAAACTGCAACCTAAATCATCTCTCAGCTCCCCTCAGCAAAGTGGTATAATCCAGTCTGCATCCTTCCTCCCTCTCTCTTCTCTGTCCAACAGTAGCTTCACTAACCAAAGAACGAATCCTGATACTCCCAGGGCGCAGATCTTCAGGTGTTTAACAGAATTTATAGCTTGCCTTGTCACTGTGCCTGTGAAAGGCTCATCCAAACTCAGCTAGGAAAAGCCTACCCACGTATCAGACCCACAAATGTCAGCGTGGATCCTGACATTACATGAACTATGAATTTCTGGGCTGAGATAGATGGGTTGGCAAGAGAGGAGGTTGAACGCTGGTCCTAAGGGCTGGGATCAGACAGAACAGGGAATTCCGAAATGGAACAGTTAAAGAAGATGCAAATGGCTGTCCCCAAATCTGTAAAAAACCCAGCTGGTTTTTGAACAAACCTTAATCCTTTTAAAACATGTTTGTGTTACAGGGATGTCTCCCTACACACTTAGCAATCCTCTTAGGAGGAGACTATCTGCAGGAGGCTAACTAAGCATCCTTGGCCTACTGAAGACAGCAAAGGAAATAAAGTTGTTCATACCAAGCAGCTCCATGGCTTCAAGTGAGATATCAGATAGAGAACTGTGGAACTATCTTCTGGACTATCATGAAGCGACTATAAAATATGACTCTGACATATCATCTGTGCAATCCTGCAACCACACTTGGGAAACAGATCCTGTTCCCTACGCTATTCTCTCTGCCATCATCTTAATTTCTGCAGCTACGATGAAGTGATACAAAGATATTTTAAATCATTACATAGCACAGTCTCTTTTCAAACTGTGTTCTAATTTAATGAGGCAGATCTATTTATTTTTTCTGCTTCTTCTAAGATGTAAGCATATTCTATCAAAACTCTAGACTACCATTAGTGAAACATTTCAGAGTCTTACTAAGAGAAGCAAGCCTTCATGCATTATGTCCCCAGCCTGTTAAAACTGTATTAGCATTTTCCCTTTTTATTATGGGGGCTGGCAGAAAGGCTTTCTAAAAGGATGATTTCTTCTTAGCAGCTGTAGCCAGTCATGCAGAGAACGATTTTTAAAGACTGGTCAAATACAGGCTTCACTCCACCTATTTTATGCCCCTAAAGTTCATAAAGGCAGTAAACACCTGCTAGAAGGTCAGGGTGTGCAGCTCCTATCAGAGTTAAGTCTTCCAGGGCATTGGTTTATACATATGTGTGAACAGCAGAGCAAAAGAGAGCTGTCACACATTCTTGCATGGAAGCTATGGAATAGCATAGAAACAAGAGGTAAATTTATCTTACGACAAACATCTGTGGATTTGTGGATTATTTGTTTCTGTCCAGACATCAATTAACATCACTAATCTAAACATGACTGAGCAAGGTATGGTCAAAATTATCTCCAACCTTGCCCAGAAGTCCTTTGAAAGCAACACAGACCTACCAAAGTATACTTACCAACCTGTCCCCTCTGCTTATCTATTCACCACAGAAGCCCAACCAATAGAATCCAGACATTTAAATTATTCTGAAAATAATGAAATGCAATCACCATTTAAACCCATACTAACATGAAAGACTGACAAAACAGCTCAGTAACTTGTGCTGAAACATCCCATTGTTGATCTTTTAGTTTCCAGTTCCTTAATCCTCTGCTTATAACTGAAAATAGGCTTGGCGTTTCAGAAAACCACTGACCTTGCTGTTAGGGTAATGGAAAAAATTGTCTGGGACTGTGAGCTGCATTAACAAGTATCTAAACAATAAGGCCCAAGTACAGGGTAAACAAGAACTAGAACGAAGGAACAGAATAGACACTCCCTCGCAAGAGGCAAGCACCTCCAAGCAAGGCACGAATCTCCTTTGACATTGCTCTTCTAACCAGGCAGCAGCAGCCCAGCAGTGACCTAGCAGCGCTCCCATTCATTAACTTGTTTTCTGTGTTCTCCCTATGCTCTAAAGGTATAATTAGCCCCAGTAAAACAGTTTTGGGATTCCTGTTGCTCACTTGAGGTATGCTCTGAAACGCAAGAAATTAGTGACAAAAGCAGATACCTCCAGTAAATATTTAAGGTGTTTAATCTCATAATCAAAAAGCTTACAAACTGAGTAGTTGTGGGTAAATCACGCATTTGCACACACTACTCTGAACGCGTTACTGCAAAAACTGCAGGATCTTAATAACACATAAAGGCTATACAAGGACCTACGAGGCTATACAAGGACCGGTGCTTAGGACAGCACAGTCTGAGATTTGCTGGTTGACCCAGTCCCTGCCACAAGGATGGATCCTACTCCTGCCCCGGCCATTCCCAGGTGCTGGGTACCCACAGACTCCGGGGCTGTGCCTTGGCCTATACTGATGAGGTTTCATTATGCCTGGACCTTCCAGAAATACAGTGTTGCTCTGGCTCTGCTACTGCTCCTGCTTACTTAACCCACTAGTGTATAGTCATTAGTATGTTCAAAGAAAACCTATCAATATACACACAAGCTGAAAAATAGCCATTAGTATTAGTCTGAGATGTATACTGAAAAGCTTTAAGGAAATAGTTTCAGCTCAGGAGGTACCTGTGCGCTGTTGTTTATCTGAATTTTTACACTGTGCCCATGACCTGCCTTTATCAATCAATACCACATCTCATTCCTCAGCTGGATAGCCACAGTTACTGCTTAAAGTTAGTTAGCGATAGGACGAGAGGAAATGGGCTTAAGCTGCGCCAGGGGAGGTTTAGGTTGGAAATTAGGAAAAAATTCTTTATGGAAAGGGTGGTCAAGCATTGGAACAGGCTGCCCAGAGAGGTGGTGGAGTCCCCATCCCTGGAAGTGTTCAAAAAACGGGTAGATGTGGCACTTCGGGATATGGTTTAGTCTAGTCTACCCTTGATTGGTTTAGTGTGGACTTGGTAGTGTAGGTCAATGGTTGGACTGGATGATCTTAAAGGTCTTTTCCAACCTAAACGATTCTATGATTCTATGAGTCTAAGTGAATCCTTTAAGTGTAGCTTTAGCAGAGAAACAAAGTGGATATTGCTAATTTCCTAGATTACTATTTTAAAGAAGTCATATGGAGAGTTAAAAATCACACTGTTAACTACACATATTATCATGAACGTGGACATCACACAAGCATTCAGAGATGAATGAATACCAATTTCAAATTAGGGATCCAGATAAGAGCACTCATGCAGAACACACATTATTTGATTCTGATATCTGTTTAGATCCCTTGCAACAACAGAAAGCATAAAAATTACAGAGATGCCAGATTTAACAACAACAATATAATGCTCTGAGCTGAGCATCAGTTTGAATTTTTTTATTGTAAGTATAGCAGCAAAATAAAAGATCATCAGGACCAATTGCAAAACTCCTTTCAAAACTGAGTACATGAGAACCAGTATCAAAATTAATCCAGCTGACAGTCAAGGCATTTGGATACCTCTAAAAAGAATATTTTTTGAATGGTGGCATTCTAGCAGCAAAAAATAAGAGAAAAAGTGTTTGCTCATCTCCAGATCAGAGTATCTGTGTAACACAACCAGTGACATACGATGCCAATTAGAGAAAAGAATGATAGAAAGTCAGTTAATTGAATGAAGCTGTGAACTCACATGTTCTGATGATATCTTCTTCAGAAGTTCAGAACTGGGTGTGCCCACAACTTCCATTATTCTCTTTAGTTGATCAATATCTGCGTTATTTCAGGGAAATAAACAGCATACGTTCCTTCTGGGTTTAAACAATTAATGAGCTTTCATGCAGATAGTTAAGATGTTTAAAACTATTCAGCAAGACAATTCCATCGTAGTCAATGGAAGGATACCAATTCATACCTGCTTAAGCCTAGTCCTGGAGTATCAGATTCTCTATTGTACTATATGAATCTGTCAGGAGTGCCTGTGCGTGAGAAAGGTGCATGCAAAATATTGCTTTGCTGTCCTAGTTTCCAATTTAACATATTCTTAAGCTTAATTTTAATAGCACATTTATGTTTCAGTGATCTGAGGGATTTCTGAAGAACAGTCTAATACGATACAGCACATAGGGCTAGATTACTAATCTGAGGGCTAATAAGCAGAAATTTCTCATTTAGTTGCTTTAAAAATCTGTTTTATATCAGTCTCAAGATTAAAAACTTTGAAAATGTTCATTTTTCATTGTCATATATGACCTGAAAAGTATATCACATTTTCCCTAGCTACTCAAGGTTATTTTACAGCTTTATTTAAATTGCTGTAATCATATAATCGTAGACAATATTTTATAACAGCAAACCCCATCTTATTTCTTGAAAACTAGATGTATTGATTTTTCCAAATACCACATATCATGTAATCAAACAGTCTGAAGCACAGCCATCACCCAGATGATGAACACCTGGACAATGCCTGTGGTTACAACAGAAAGGTCAGCGGGGAGACTTGGTGTCTCAGCTCTCTTAACAGTTTTTCAGGCAATTCAATGTCATGTTGTTTTGCACCTGGCAACAGCATAGTTTTAGGAGAAGCGGTTGCTTTTTGGGGGGTTTCAGAGCAGTGAGAAATGTCAATATTCAGTACAGAAGAAATGTGCCTTTGTTTCTCATATTAAAAGCTTTCCTCCTCTGATGCAGTTGTTTCCTCATTCCTCATTATGTGTTTTTCTGCAGTTTTCTTTTACTATTTTACTGCTCTCCTCATCAACGGCTCTTTCTTTTCTTCTGCCAGTGCAGGAAACGCCAATGGAAATCCCTGACGCTCCAGCAGGGACCGCAGCGCAGCACGGAAGAGAAGGGAGGATTCTGTTGCTCCTGTGGCATTTCTGGAACTGCTGGCTTTTTTTTAATAACAGGACACAATATGCCTATTAATTCACTTGTTATTTAAAAGTTAATTTGTTTGCATTTTGGGAACTTCCAGCCTAAAAGCAGTTCTATTTTTTAAAATGATATTAGCCAATCAAAAAATACTGCCTTTACTCAGCTTCAGTTTTACCGTATGTTATTTCAGTAAGATACACACATGGAAGAAATCTGCTCTGTTGTAACTAGGCAATTATTTAAATAGAGATACACAACAAAGAATAAATGTAACTTTTTGTTGTTTAGGAACATCTGTTACTCTTTTTTTCCCTACCAGTGTGTTTCATACTCAGCTGTCATATACACTAAACCGACAGATTAGCAAAAACTGTTTACTGTTTTAGAAGTTTGTTACCTCAAAAACATTTCCATAGAAACACTCAAGTCATTAGAAAAAAAGGCAGAATTAGAGGGTATTTTTATAGCTACATTTTTTTGTTTTATGTTAAGGATACAATCATTTCCTGGAAATAGGGCCTTCCCTTTCAATAGCTCCGCCATGATGCATCCAACTGACCATATGTCAACTGCCAAAAAACGGAGAGAGAAATGTGTATGATGAATCGCAGAGATCCTTAAACAGTTGCCTCTTGGTTTAAAACTATCACTATATCCAGCTGTAGCAAAACGCAAGTCTTTGCAGTTTACCTGTTTGATTGTAGTGCATCCAGTTTAACATAATTTCTGGAGCTCTGTACCATCTTGTTGCAACATATCCGGTCATTTCATCATCGGTTTGTCGAGCTAAACCAAAGTCTAAAATCTACAGAACAAAAATAAAAAAATAAACAATAATTTTAAAAATCCCTTTTCACTTCTGCTATAGCTACTGCTTTTCCCCATTACTCATTTCTGAGTTTATCCACAGCCCCTCACTACTGGTGAGGTAAAACCGCAACACTCCGCAGGCGAGCTCATCTGCTCTCCCTGCTGCACCCCTGCAGCCTACGGGTTTGCATAAAGATGCTTCCACTGTGATGAGCCTGGCCTGGCCCTTTGTCCTCTAAGGCAAACTTTACATTTTGCCTCAAGTTCAATTTTCCGCTGACATTCATTTGCTGAAAATAAGCACTATTGCTAAAAAAAAAATGAAACGCTATCGACTGGGAATGTTTGTGTAAAATGCCAATGGCAAGTGCCACTGGCCATTTAAGCATTTAAATAACACAAGAGCTGATCACAAATCTGCAGAATGTCTGTTGTTTCCCTCTTATATCTATCTAACCATTGATCCAAATCACACGTCATTCTGATGCCACTAGGAGAGAAACGTGTATCTTGCGTAACAAGGTAGATTTAAATCACATACCATCTGTTTTCGGTAGAACTCCCCCACCGAAACAACAAAGGAGCTCTGTTTAGGTGCACATATTACTCATAGGCTTGATAGCAAAATGTTCCCCTCCATATGTTCTCCCTTGCTAAGTTTACATTGACGAGAAGTTACTTCAATTAAAATTTTCCCGCTCATTTCTTTGCTTTCTATTTTTTGATTAGTCTATGTCCCACTAATTATGGAGCTAAAAGGTATCCCTCACTCTAAGAAAGACTGTTGCGAAAGGGTACCATCTGAGCCTCGGTGCTGTTCCTTAAGTCAGTCATCTGAGCTAGTTAGCATCTCTTCAAATAGAAATGTGAATTAAGATCAGTGGCAACCTCCAGTGATGAGATCCAGGATTATTTATTAAGCTGATGGCTAATCCTTTTCATTGGGAGTAAGAAAATTTTATGAGTATCATTCAAAATTCCTCAGTTATAATCCAATTTAAAGATATAAAAAGCCTAAAGAAAAATACTAAGATATAAATAACACATTAATATCTTTAATTCTAATATACTTTAAAAAGCATGAGGCAAACAAGGCATGAATAATGGAGTGAAACTCGAACACTAATGCCCTTATTTTTATAAGGGTTTTGGCAATATTTTTCTGGCCCCTTTTATTTTTTGGCAATAATAGCTGGCCCCTTCTACCAATGTGCACACACACACATTTTCCTTCTTTTTGTTTCTATTTCCTTTTTGTTTGTACCTGGAAATATCCACTAGTTTGTTCTATTAGAAAATAATTTGGTATCAGAGGAAGTAAAGCCATAAGTATAAACCAAGCAAAGAGCCATGTAACAAATGCTAAGCAGGGAGGTGCACAGATACCATAATAATAGAAAAAAATAATATAAAGTCTTCTATACTTACAGTACAAAAATACAGCACACATTTTAGAGCACATGATCAGACCCAGATGACCCATAAAATTTCACAGATGCTGAACATACATGCTTGAAGACATTAAAGGGATAATCATGAAACTTGCTGAGCATCTGCAAGTGTCACTAAACCAAACAGGAACTACAGTTTCTCACCACAGATCCAGATTAGTGCGACAACCTAACTGCACTGCTCTTACTATTGTGATTTTTTGCTGATCTTGTAGTATTTGGAATCTTTTCTTAAATCCCTCGCAGCTGGAATAAAGCGATTACATCAGAGTCTCAGTCACAGGGAGAAAGATGTTTCTGGCTGTCATGGAGAAATGCTAAACTTCTCATTCTTAGGCTTAAAGGCTTAGAAAGCTGGAAGACATCTTTCCCTTCTCCAGAGTCTCATGCTTATTATGTAGCATCGTATCACACAGAAACACAAAGATATGTACTTATATAGACATATACATTAAAACAGCATTTAGACATGTACATTAAAATAGCATTTGAGAAGTGTGGATTACAGGGTTTTTTCTGGTTGGGGTTTGGTGGGTTTTTTTTTTTTTTTACTGCCCGTAACTGGTAACATAACTGGTAATACTGGTATCTTTTTTCATATAATTATTTAATTTAGCTTGTATATTCTATAGATATAAAAATGAAAGTTGTTACAAGGCTTCATCTAGAGATGGCAGATGCAGATACATATCGCAGGTCAAACTTTGAAGATATACTCAGTTAAGTACTCACTCAAGGGCCAAATTATTAGCCTATGTACCATCTGCGAGGAACCAGGGATGAACATTTTGCAGAGATACTTGTGTTCATACTAAATTGACATTTGGGAGAAAACACATGTTCATGGAAATGGGTTTTCTATGCCAGGGGAGCAACAGTAGCAAACAGTTGAAATTAATGGAATCAGGAATAAAAATGGTAGCTAATGTTTTCTCAGCAAACTGTCATCTTGAGAGCTTTTACAACATTCTTCATTACAACAGCATGATACCTACCCTCAATTCACAGTCTTCATTTACGGCTAGGTTACTGGGCTTCAGGTCCTGTAGCAGAACAGAGACAGTTAGTCAAGTATGATTTTAACCTTTTAAAGTATATTATAACTATGTCTTAGTAACACATTTGATGCACAGAGGGACACACTCCATTCATTTTTGTTATCACAATGAGTGAACTCACCCGGTGGATGATTCCAGCTGAGTGAATATACTGTGAAACAAAAAGGAAAAGAAAAGGTAAGATTTGAAGGTAGAGGTGAAGGAAGGTATAAGTCACTTGTCTCACCTATTGACTTCTGAGACTGTTCTATATACAGAAAAGACTTAGATCACACTACATTTTCAGATCAAACGGGGGTATGACGAACTTCAAAACCTCCTTGTTTTGTCTTATCCAGCGTTGGATATTTCAAGAAAGGTACCCATGAAGACTAGATTCTACCATAAAAGACAGCACTTGGAGTGATTCTTCCGTTGAAAGTTTTTTACCAATTTGGAATTTGTTCCAGTCTTATCTGGATGTCCGTGTTGATCAGCTAGTGGCTCAGTGAAGTCAGTGGCCTAGGGAGCAGCATGGTTGACTCCTAGATGACGCAAGTCACCTTCCCGTGCTGTGCACGCTGAATGTTGGTGTCAGATACTCACACCCTGGGACAGGTTAGTGACCAAAATACCCACCTAAGCCACAGCATTATTTCAGGTCCCCTTTCAAAGCAGGGACCCAAAGCAGTATTTCAGTGGCTATTTAGTGTCTCTGCTATTTTACATAAAACATTAAAACTCAAAGATTGAGAAAAGCGTACTCTGTAATTACCTATCATTCACTTGTTAGGATTAACAGCCCATTTATCTGTGATCTTACTGACCCGGATCCGCAAGATCTTGAAAACCTTCTCTTCTATTCTCCACAGGTGAATTCACCTTCTTTTTGAGGAGCAGAGATTACACGCAAAACCTGTGTATCAACTGGGAAAACCCAAAGAAAACACAAGGGCATTCTTCTTGTTCCAGACCTACACACTGTTTATCAGAAGGGCAGGGCCACCCCCGAGCGCTCCTCACAACAGCTGTGAGCAGCTGAATGAAGAAGAAACCAACCACCGCTTGCGACAGAAGGAACTGTGTCCCTGCTCTGCTGAGACAATGGCAACAGCTCTTCTCGCTGCCACCAAGCAGTCCTCTACCAGCCAGCTCAGGAGCCTGCCAAACCGTGCAGCTCCACACTAACGCTTTGGCTGCTCAGACAGCTTCTGCAGGGCACGAAGCCTGTGCTCCATACTGCTGAACACACCTACCAGTGAGCCCAAAGCTTATTCAGGTATGCAAATACATGTTGTAATGACTCCAGCAGAGATGTAAGCGAGGAGTTATATATGATCAAATCTTCTTCGACTAATGAGACATGAGAATTTCAATTCCAGAAGAGATGAGCCACCATCAACCCCTCCCCCTCAAAACAGAGCCCCAAATGCACCTGAGTGCTTTTCTGAAATTAATATTCACTTTAGAGCACAACTCCTCCTATTATTTAGCTCTGACACAACATAGCCTTATATTCAAAACCGCAAGCTGGATAATTGACTCCAGAATCCATCTTCCTAATTAAGCTATTAACTTAAGTAAATGAGACAAAGCAATTAAGGGCTCAGTTCTGCAATTTTTATTCACTAAAATCTGCACTTAAATTGACAGAACCCGCATGTATGAATAAGAATTAGTGTCTCAGGCACAAGGTGACTTGCTGAAAATCATGTAATAAGTATATTTCAGAGTCAGTATTTACCATGGCTTGCTTTCAAACATACAGTTATTTTCCATGTCTAAAATATCAATTACTGTTAAGTTAGCTACTAAAGCAGCTGACCCGTCTTTTCTTTTTGCTTATACCTGGGAAAATCAACACTGGTCTGAGAAAATGCTTTTCACCTAGTAATGGGAAGCATTTTATACATCTTCTCCTGTTTATGGACACTTACATGTTTAATGTCAGCAAAATGACGTATTTGAATTCTTTCAGAAGAAAATTTTGCTACAGTTTCATTGCCAGTCATCGCCTGTGTTATCTAATTGTATAAATTTTAACTGATACGATTAAAGGAAACAATGACTTTACAGGCAGAGTAAATCCTAGGTGATTGCGTGCAACATCGTACATTGCTAGGATAAACTTCTACTTCCAGACATTTTCCAAAGAACCCAACGAACTTGGTTATCTCTTCACCTGTGTGACACTCTCTACAAAAATCAGGGCTGTAATTTTTCGAACTGGTTCATGTCTTTCAAGGCACAAATGTGAGTTACTTGCCATATTGTTCTTTATCCATTTCACATTCTTCCGAAGTTTTTTCATTACCTTCTCGTGACAGGTGAAGTGTTTAAAACACACAGTGTGCTATAGAACATGTTCACTTGAGAGACTATTTAGCAACTGATTCTCCTTCAATAATAACTTAAATAGACACTGATCTAAAGTTACTGTTCAAGGGGGAGTATTCACATGTATTGCGCGTGTAAACATTGGCAGGCTTGGGGTTTTATGTCTGGTTTGAAAAATGATCTGATAATTTCTGAAATGATTGTTGCTATCTGCACACTCTGAAGACATTAAAAAAAAAGTGTTTAAGTACTGTCACTGCAATGAACCAGTCATTACTACAACATTTCGGCTGCTGACTCTAAAACTCCTGCATTCAGCCAGTACCTTAAGACCTCGAAGTAACTGATAGATGAGAAACTGTATATGGTCATCTGTTAACTTCTGGCACTTCACAATGTTATTCAGGTCAGCACCCATTAAATTTGTCACAAGATACCTGTGAAAGTAAAACAGAGAGAAGAAAACAAAGAAACACACCTCATTTAAGAATGGCAGAATGTACGTCCTTCTAAAAGCAGCATATCTAAAGAGTAACTACACACTCCTGTGTAGGTTCCTTTTCCATTTTCTACTAACACACATCAGCTTTGAGCTTTAATAATGGAATCACAACTATGAGATTTAGTATCATGAAAAAGAAAAATCCTCACCGTACATTAAAAGCTTTTATCTCTGTTTTCTTCGTGACACACTACAGCAGTTCAGGGAGGGGAGAACGCATCATATTTTGAGATGAATAAGAAGCCTCACTCAACATCAAAGTGGGAGCCTGAGGCACTGAAACTACAGTAACTAGAAAGGCCCCGGCATATCTGATGATGGAGATTAACATTGGATTGGTTGAAATAAGAGTATTTTGTGCAACTTCCCTCCCCACCCCCACTGGAAGTTTTATTTTTTGACAAATTTTGCAGAAACATTGATTCTTTTCCAAAAAAAGTGCATGTTTCATACCCAGTTCTCATTTGTGTGATTTTGCTCTGGAGTCAAAGGGGTTTGGCCACTAATTTCCATGGAAAATATATTAATTACTATTTCTTCTGCTAAATTGTTTACCTAAGTGCTTATACACAATGAAAACCAAGAGGAACTCTGCATAAACCGTATGTTTGAGTAACACCAAAACACACCTAGTCCTAGGTTAGTCAGAAATGTGGCCTAAATTTACCTTGTCTCAGTGAACCAACAGAATACTTTCCTGCATTCTGAACTATCCCATCTAGCTGTGAAAAAATAATCTACAGCTAACATATAATTGAACTGAAAAAGTTTTAAGTTTACTGGCATGTATGCAGCATCAAACCATTTACCATATACTTATCTTAATTAATTATCATTAAAAAAAATACAAAAATGAGGCCCATCCTCCTGCCTCCTCTTTTGTGGAAAAGTTGCAAAAAGATTTATTGGTGTTCTTCACACAAAGTCAGCTGTGGCTGCAAGTCTATTAGAAAAGTATGAGCTTCCTTTTTAAAACAAGAGTGGAAGTTACTTACTTACTAATTAATCAGAACGATTTTAAAATTTTACTTACACTTCATTAAAATTTTCTATTGATGTTGCAGGCGTAAAAACATCTAGCAATCCTATAACCTGAAAGATGAGGGAATCGACATTTTATTTTTAGAAATCTGTAAAGAAACATGTAATTAGTATTGACAGTGCTTAGCATTTTTGGGATGAAACTTACAAAAATATAACATAAGGTCATCCTGAAAACTTAGTACAACTGGCACAGTAGGTGGTCTATACAGGTATAGCCTCAGCTATCTCCATGACCAACAGAAAATTATATTAATTACAAAAAGTAATTACAACAATACTTTAGACAATCAGGAAAAGTAACGTCTCATTACGGAAAAGCTGACTCATGGTCTATACACTTGTTAGACTTCATCAAGATTACGCACAATTTCATGGATTGTCTTGTTCTGTCATTTTTTAACCTTTTTAGCATCCTTTCTCCAGGATACTTTTCAATCCACTATATTTTTTTCAGGCTTCAATTCATCAAGTTACTTTTAAGCAGGTGGATAGTCCCACTGAAATCAACTGTTTGCCACATAAACTTAGAACAGTACTCAATTTCTTGGGGCCTGAAGTTCTACTGTCTTTTCTCTAGATATTACACTGTTGTTAATTTCAACGAGAGTATCTGCCCTTAATTTCTCAAAAGAATCCAAATTCAGCAAAAGCAGTTTTGAGGTATTTTATTTTCTGGACTGATGTTTCAAGAGCATCCAACAGTAGTGAGCAGAACACTCTTACTACTTTAGTTAGAGAAGAGTAGGAGCACTTGTTTTGGATTTCATTAGCTGCATCTTCAAGATGAAATTAGATCATTTTTCAATTAAAAGGCAGCCTTTTACTGAAAGTCTCTACTTAAAGTCCAGTGACTCCACTACACGTATGATGGCTAGTTCCAGGTATCTTGGATAGCTAGAATTGCATAGACTTTTCGAAAAAGATTGTACCTAACTGAAATTAAGCCTGTATTGCAAACTTCTGTTGTAAAAATACGAAGCGAAGGAACTCACTCTCCACTTACGTTCTCATGCTTCATGTGCTTAAGCAACCTAAGCTCTCGGTAGGTCCTCCTCGCATGAATCAGTGATTGAAAAGGTCTTGAAAGCTTTTTTACTGCCACCTTCTGTCTTGTTTTGGTATCATAAGCTGAACTAGAAGAGGAAAAGAAGAAGTCCACGTTGATGGCATGTTCTACTTCAAAGCTATCAGCTAGTTCACTGGAGAAACCTGTACTCTCTTGGGGGCTTTTACTCCTTCCTTTGCCCTCTTTCACCTTCTACTCAGAGACTGCAACCAGGCGAGCTAGTCAGCAGTAACTGAGTATTCATAGACAGTTCCCTTGTTTTCCATCTAGCAAATTACTAACACTTACGATAATGTTCAGGACTCATCCCCAGGTAACCCTTCCCCATATGGCAGGAAAAGTAACCAGAGAATTAGCTCCATTAGTGCAGCTCCAGCCTCCAGCTCCAAGGCAAGGCTTGTAGGGAATATGGGGATTCAAAATCTGTATCTTACTGAACAAACTGGAGTCTTTACTAATGAGACGAACACTGCAATTGTGTCTAGCAATATTAATTACCTATTTGACCATTAGCTCGCTAGATGATAATGCCACAAAACTGGTATCAAATTAGGATGTTGACATAGCCAAGGCCATACCGTTTCCTTGGGAAATGCTGGTAACAAGCGAACAACGGGCACATCTTACACTCCAGCCCACAGATCCTGCTGACACACAGCATGTGCTTAACTTCATACAGATGGAGATGCCCCGCTGAAGAGGACACTAAATACACACGTCACCATTTACACAAAAGGGAGACCCACTGGTTTTTGTGCATTAGAAAGACATGACAAGCACAACAAGCCACAAATAAATGCTGCCTGTTATGTAGCACAGGGGTAAAAATGATCCCTGTATGTATTACTTCATGATGCTACACAGTACAATTATAAAAAGATACAGTTTGCTACCTTCTCCTATGAAGAAAAAAAATTTCTTTAAATTGTTACTCTTACCCATTAAGTTAAAACTGTGTTCAATTAAAATACCTCAAAACTCTCTATTTAAAGTGTGGGTAACACTACCTATGCTTGCTAGAGAGCATTAGCAATCCGAGAACCTTCACACATGTTTATCTTACAGAACTTTTTTTGAGTTACAATCACAAAAATTAGATAACATGAAAAATGCACGGAGTAGGATGACAACAGTCAGCAGTCACACCAAATGCTATTAGCTCCTTAAGAACAGTGTTTTAGACACTCCTGCAAATTGTGGCAGGAGACACCTGCTAGAGACAGAAACCATTGGCCATGCCTGGAGTAGCTCCCAAACTAATACACCAAGCCTATAATCAACTCCAAGTAGGTGGACTCCTACACATATTTGGTGCTCTGCTAAAGTCATGAAGAGCCAAGTGAAGAGCAAAGCCTCTTTATTTGCAAGCAGCTGGAGGACAAGGTGGTGTTTCTAATGAGAAGCAACAAAGGATACAAGCAACAAATGGGCAGGAAGAACAGAGAGGCATCCGAAAGGTGATCGTGACCAGTTATGCTAGAATTCACCCAACCTCCACGAAGGCCAATGCAGGGCACAATCCACCAACATTTTTATTTGATAAAAACAGAGTAAGGGGAAGTAGATTTAATCAACAAGTTTCTTGCAGGTACCATGGAAGGAGTGAGTCACTCATGAGATAAATGAAATAGATAAGCAGATTACTTAGCTAGTTTCTTGCAAGCATCACAGAAGAAGTGGATCTTCAGGGAAGTTTTAAAGGTGTACAGGGTTGTGGCTTTGCTGAGCACCTCAGGAAGGGCATTCCCTGAGCAGAAGAAAGAAAAGCATAGGAAGAAGGAGAAGACTGGTATCACTCTGAGGAGTGGGTGGAAGGGATACGACAGAGATACTTGTTCCGACAGCAGGGCAGGGACAGTTATTCGGGATATGAGGATGCTGTGTTGCTCAAATACGTGGAGCAGCTCAGGGAATGAACAGTGTGTGAAGAACTGACAGCACAGATATCTTACATTCCACGACTGACCACAGGGACAACATGAAGGTTGCACAAGTAAATCTGAAGAAATAAAAAGGAAGCCGATGCTTAGCTGTTAATGTAGCAAAGATTAGATATAATTGCCCTGTGTGTAATCCTGGCCAATGAAGCCACTGGAGAACACCACCAAGTCTCACAAATACGCACTCTCTATATCCTTTCCAACTTTTTTTCCAGTGGAAAAGGAAATGTTTGTCCAGATAAATAAGCAACATTGGCCAAAACAGCAGCCTGTGACTTAACATCTCAGCTCTTCTGGTAATTCATGAGCCTTCCCACTCATGCTTGTACCGGTTTGTGAAATGCTGTGTACCTTATAAAAGGCTAAGAGGAATTAGGTTTTAAATCCCGTTATCATGATAAACATCCCTCTCCTCCCAATTCTAAGGTCAAATGTGGGTTTCAGTGGTTTAAAAGCCACTGATCTTTAAGATGGATTGCTTTTTACTCTTCATGACTCAAGGCTGCAAAGCTTTCAGATGGTATAAAGCACTATTTTTTTAGTTTCAGTAATTCTTACAACAGCAGCTTTTTAGACCCAGGATGGAAGCACATTGAGGAGAGAGAAAAAAAAATAAAAGAAAGAGAAAACAAATGGCAACTTGAGACCCGGGACCTCCAATGGGAAATCATGAATTGAAGCTGCACGGGCCAGGGACTGACTTGGTTTAAATGAGTTCCTTCGCAGTCAAGAAATTGTACCAAATGATAATCAGAGCTAATGCCTTCAGGCTCTTTCCTTGCCTGGTTTACCATCATCAGAATTCAAGTTATTAAGTCATGCATTCAAAAATACAGATTTCACGTTGTTTGAACTCTCTTGTTTGTCAGATTCAAGGATGACTTGCATCTGTGATCTCTGCTACAGCCTCTGTGATGACATTTTGCAAGCGGCAGGCCACTGCCTGCATTCCTCCCTGTGTACGCTTACGCCTCTTATTTTAGACTTGGTCTCTCCCTCTTGCTATTATATCATCACAGCTGCAATCCAGGCTGTCCCCTGAATCCCTCATCATCCCCTGAATCCTTCATCATCCCCCGAATAAACTGTTAGGTGGCAGGATGAGCTGCATCCTTTTGGTGCGATTTCTCCAAGAATGTTCAGCTTTTAGACTAGTCCCTGGATAGGACATCTCTGGTCCCAGTCATGATGAAAATAGGGGCCCACCTGTGCTTGGCACCTGCAAACCCTTCCTCAGGGGCCTGTAACCAGCCCGACCAAAATGATTCAAAACAGCTTCTTAAAAAAAAAAAAAAATACCAACCCATGCTGTTAACTAGCTTGATTTAATGGGGAAGAAGAGGGTTAGAGGCCCTCACTTTCCCTTACCCTGCATGACACCCAACTCACACCCTCCCCACTTCTGCATCGTGACTGGAGAGGGCTTCTCTGCCAGTCTCTCGGTGTTTGCATCGCCTCACAAACAACTGCTGGCCACTTACAACACCTTTTTCTTTTGCGAGGTTATTTCCTACAGGCTTCAGCTTTGGCCAACCACTTGTGGTTATACCTGGAAACAAATCATCCTTCCAGTGGTTCAGCTACTGTTTCCCGAGTTTCTTTGAAACTACTTATTCTGAGGTGTCCTACCTGTGATTACAATGTTACCTCATGCAGCTGGACAGAATAGCACAATGGAGATAAACTGACATACTCCCATCTCTAATCTATTCTTTACTGTTAGCATTTAATTTGATGTAGGCAGTGAAAATAAGTGACTTTTTAAGTGCATATTGTCAGTATTTCTGACATCACTGTTAAGCAGTATGCTCACATGGCTCGATAGAATATGGGAACATCACTTTAGATAGACTTTCTATCATAATTTAAAAAGAAACACAATTATTACTATTTTTTTAATTTACAAGAAACAACTTTGCAACAATCTTAGCAATAGCTTTTTCAGATATGATCGTTCTTGACCCAGAACCCTTTGCAGTTATGACACATTTTTTGCTGTCTGTCCTTTCTAAGATCAAGGATAAAAAGCCATTATTCTGCTTACAGGGATGGCATAATTTTCACACAGATTAGAGACTTTTGCTTAGTGTGATTTTCAGTCATTGCTTAAATTAGACCTACCTTTTCAGCGTTGTCAACTCCTATATTTAATAATTCTAT